GCAGTCGCGCGTGTGTCCCTGGAGCCGTCTGCACACAGCTTGTGGGAGCTGGTGGGCAAAAAGGACCCTGCCCTGCAGATGCTGGGGACCTGTGCTCTGATCACAGAGGTGCAAACAGCTAGGTAACCATGTCGCACCCCACCCCTGTTGTCACACGCCCCCCCTTAAGCTGAAGTGACTTCCAGAGGATGGAAAGGGCTAGTGCTCTTCTCTCCCTTCATTTTTCTCTCTTTCCCTTCCTGGGAGCCGGGTGTTAAAGACTAGGACATTCAAAAACAACTACGAATAAGGGGAAAGTTAGAACATGATCTTGGATGCCCGGGAAAAGGCTCAGAAAAGACCTGAGCAGACATTATATTTACAGGTCAGGCTGATCCTGCTGATCCACAGAGACAGTGTACAGCAATAATAAAAATAAAATAAAAACAAAAAACCAGCCAGTCCAGGGGAAGGGGGAGAATCAGAATTCCAAAGTTACCACATTATTCAATTCAAATGTCCCGTGTTCAGTAAGAAAATCACAAGGCAGGGGCACCTGGGGGGCTCAATCGGTTAAGCGTCTGCCTTCGGCTCAGGTCATGATCCCAGGGTCCTGGGATGGAGCCCCGCATGGGCTCCCTGCTCGGTGGAGAGCCTGCTTCTTCTCTCACTCTCTCTCTGTGCTTGCTCTTTCTCTACATCTCTCTCAAATAAATGAATTTTTTAAAAATCACAAAGCATACAAAGAAACCAGAAAGTATGGGTTATAAAAAGGAAAAAAAAAATCAGTGAAATTCTCTCTGAAAAAGACCTGATCACAGATACACTAGACAAAGACTTTAAAACAACTAAAAGAAGTTGTGGAGAAAGCCAAGAAAACCATGTATGAACCAAATGAAAATACCGATAAACAGATGGGAAACCAAAAAGAAACTCTGGAGCTAAAAAGTACAATAACTGAAATGAAAAATTCACTAGAGAGGTTCCAAGACAGAATTGTGCAGACAAAAAAAAAAAAAAATTAGTGAACTTGAAGAGAGGATGGGAAATTATCAAGTCCAAGGAAGACAAAGGAAAAAGTTGGAAGAAAACGGGACAGAGCTTAAGGGACCTGAGCTCAGGACACCAGCAGGCAGACCAATATATGCACTGTGGGAGTCCCAGAAGGGGAAGAGAGAGAAAGGGGCAAAGAGAATACTTGAAGAAATAATGCCTGGAGACTTCCCAAATTTGAGGAAAGACATGAATATAAACTTCCAGGAAGCTCAACAAACACCAAGGAAGATGAACTTAAAGCGATCCACGCTAAGAAACACTGTAATCAAACTTCCAGACCCAAAGACAAGGAATCTGAAAGCAGCAAGAGAAGGGAATCCTCACGTACAGGGGTCCTCAATAAATTATCAACAGATTTTTCATGAGAAAACTTTGGAGGCCAGAAGGCAGTGGGTCGATACATTCAAATGCTAAAAGAAAAAACCTGCCAACCAAGAATCCTATGTCCAGAGGTACTCTCCTTCAAGAGTGAGGGATAAATTGAGACATTCCCAGATAAGCAAAAGAGGGAGTTTGTGATCACTAGACCTGCCCTGCAAGAAATACTCAAGTGGGTTTTGTAAACTGAAATAAAAGGATGTTAGTAACTTTATGTGGAGAAATAAAGATCTCAATAAAGGTAAATGCACGGCCTCCTGGGTATAGAGTCTCTGGTAAAGTTAAAGGGATTGTAGGGATGGATGGATGGGTGGATGGGTGGACGGACAATAGTGTGAGTGTATTTTATACCACTAAGCTGTACACTTAAAAATGGTTAAGATGGTAAATTTTATGTTATGTATGTTTTATACCAGTAAAAAAAAAGTTAAGTGGAAGGCAAAATTGTCAAGCTTTTAGAAAATAATCCAGAAGACCATATTTCTGATCTTTTTTTTTTTTAAGATTTTATTTATTTATTTGAGAGAGAACACATGAGAGGGGGGAGGGTCAGAGGGAGAAGCAGACTCCCCGCCGAGCAGGGAGCCCGATGCAGGACTCGATCCCGGGACTCCAGGATCATGACCTGAGCCGAAGGCAGTCGCTTAACCGACTGAGCCACCCAGGCGCCCCGACCATATTTCTGATCTTAAGGCAGGGAAGGTTTTGTGAAATAGGACCAGGAAGCGCTACCTGTGAAGAAAAATACTGGTGACTCCGACTCATTAAAGTTACGAACTTCTGCGTGCCACGTTTTGGTTTCTGAGATGTGACGCCATGTTGCCGGTTTCTCTCGCACAGGGTCTTGTGAGATGTCTGTTCTGAGTCCTTGTATGTTGAAAATGCCTTTTTTCATTATCTTTTTTTTTTAAAGATTTTATTTATTTACTTGACAGAGATAGATAAAGAGAGAGAGGGAACACAAGCACGGGGAGAGGGAGAGGGAGAAGCAGGCTTCCCGCCGAGCAGGGAGCCCGATGCGAGGCTCGATCCCAGGACCCTGCGATCATGACCTGAGCTGAAGGCAGATGCTTAACGACTGAGCCACCCAGATGCCCCTCATTATCACTCTTAAATGATAGTTTACTTGGGTGTGGGATTCAGCGTTCAAGTTCTGTGCCTTCGGCACCACAGAGGGGCCCTGCCAGAGTCTCCGGGCTCTGGTGCCCGTTCACCCCAGCATGGGCACACGGTCATGTCTCCCCAGCAGCTCCGAGTTTTTCTCTACCTTGATGCCCTCAGATCTCACCCCCAAGTATCTGAATGGATGTACCTCTTGGCCTTCCTTGGCACTCACCGAGTACTTTCGGTCAAGAGCTCATGCCTTCAGTTCTGAGAGATCATTGTTCTTACATGTGGATCCAAATATTGCCCTGAGGCCACGCCCCCTCCCCCCTGCGCACCACGGGCACGTCCCCCAAAACCTCCCTTCGTTCAGGATGTCTGTCGGGTTTACAGATCATTCACTTCCTTGTTTTCCACTCTTCTATTTTAAAATTTCTTTCTATCTTTGTCGTGGTAAATTTTGTGCCTGTGGGGAAGATGCTTTTCCATCTGGAAACCAGAAACCCCTTTTTAAAAATATTTGAAGTTTAGTAACTGTTTTGTTTTTATGCGCCGTGTTGTTTTAGAGTTACCTTCTCCAGGGCGACGGGGCACCTCTGGCTGACAGTGTGGACTCTGGAGCACATTGCAGTGTGCCTCGCTTTCCCCATCTGTAAAGTGAGAGGAAATAATGGCACACATTGCATAGGGTGTTGTCAGGATTGAATGAGAGCATCCCCTGGCACACAGGCAGCACGTGGCACAGGCGAGCCCTAGTCCACGGCACGTGACACCCATATTCCTGGTGCCTTAGGAGCATGTTTAGATTTGGTGAGAGGCACATGCGTTTAAGGAAGGGACTGTGCCAGGGAATGACAGGGAGGGGCTTAGGGAAGACTGTTGTTTTGCACCTGGGTTCACAAAGACTCAGCCGGGGGCACGGCCACAGCCCCCGGGAAATCAGACTGTGAGGCTCTGGGTCCGCTTTCCGAAGGCGACCCAGGACGGCCAGCCTCATTTGCAGACACACCTCGCCAGCCCGGCAGCCGTCCCCGTCCGGCCCGGCCGGGTCCCAGGGTGGCCTACCCTGCCCAGACCTTGTGACGGGGGTGGGAAAGGACAGCAATGGCCTGAAGAGAGCCCAGGCCCTCCTCGCTGAGCCCCTGCAGCGGCCCCACCATGGGAACCACACTGAGGGCAGAGGCAGGTCATGCGACTCGGGAGGGGGGAGGACCCTCCCACGTACCCCCCGCCAGCAGCTTCCTTCAAGCACTGTCTTTGCCTCCCCAGGTGGCAGCCCCACCGGAAGCCACCCTGCCCCTTGGGGAGCCATGTCTCGTCCTTCCTGCCCAGTTAAGCCAGGCACGTCTCCTGTCTGCCACACCCCACGCCTGCTCCCCGCTCTTCCCGCACCCCACCACACGCTCGTGGAGCTGTCTGGCGAGAAATCCCCGCCCTCGGGGGAGATGAGAAAAGAAGGCCAGTCCTAGAGCAAGCTGAGGTGGGACAGGCGCCCTGGAGAAAATTCAGTGAGCTGTGGCAGGCAGGGAGCGGGGACTGCAGCGGCTGGCAACCCCCCTGGGGCCCGAGCAGCACTGGGCACCCCTCCTTCTGTGCGCCCCCAGCCCACGAGGCCACTGCTTCCTGCACTGACACACCTGGGCCACAGCCATGCCTCCCGCAGGGTCCCCAAACTTTCCACATCAGTGAACCAGCTTCCTTATAAATCCCCTGGGTTGGAAATAATGGAGAGGGTCATTTTTGAGCCCCTGGCTCATCCCTGGCCCCAGCCAGTGCCCCACAGCCTGAGACTGACCCTGAGGGCCTCCAGACCCCTCCTCCCACCTGTCCCTCCCAGAGGGGAGGGGCAGCATGAGCCTGGGGGTACCATACAACCAGACAGAGGAGAAGCCCAGGGGACTCAGTGGGCAGAAAAGACACCAGGACCAACAAGTGTACACACTGCTCAGCGTTTATTTGCAAGATGGGGGCAGGGTGGGCAGAGGGAGTGCTGGGGAGCACCAACCCCTCCCTGGCCCACCTCCCAGCGGCCGTGGTCACCCCAGGCCCAGGTTCACATGTGGGTGGGCAGCCACCCTGCCTGACACCGCCCCCCGGAGGCAGCTGGTGGCCAGTGGACAGGCCCCAGCCCACATCCCGGTGCAGGAGGTGGCCAGCAGGAACCCGCTCCACGGGGCTTGGGGAGCAGCGGGGCGCACGCAGGCCCACAGCGGGGGACAGCACAGCAGCTCCAGGGCACCCCTCTGACACGAAGAAGGGGGTGAGTCCAGGCAGCACAGGCACTTGTCTCAGATGAGGGCCAGGCCCTGACGGCCAGGCAAGTGGCCAAGACGTGCTGGAGGGGCTCCGAGGGCAAGGCCCCCGCCGGAGCCCTCCTCAAGCAGTTCCTCGCTGTGCCATTGTCCTCTAGGGCAGCCCCCAAGGCACAGGTCCCACGAGGGCCCAGGTGGCAGGGGTGCCCGGGCTCCTGCCGCAGGCTGGCCGAGCTTTCCGTGGCTGGGTGGTGTGTGTCCTGGCTCCAGACTGGGGTGGGGGGCCTGGCGGGAGGGGGTCAGAATGGCAACAGACAGTGGTGGAGCCCTAGGTCAGGAAGATGGGGGTGCTGTCCTCGGGAGCCTCAGGCGAGCGGACGCAGGATGGGGCACAGCTGCACTTGTCCACGTGGGTGTAGGTGCGCTGGACGGTGGTCCCGTCGGGACACTGCATGGTCACCACCTCCTCATGAACCCCTGCCTCCTGGCAGCAGGTACACTGGTGCTCCATAGCCTGGGCCTCCACGGAGTACCTGCAAACGCAGGGCCGCCCTCAGGACCCGCCGGGTCCAGCCCCAGCCCCCGAGCTCCTGGTGTCTCTGGGGTCTGGAGCCAATGGCCCCGACCCACTCCCGGCAGCCCTGAGCTCATCCTCCGAGCACTAGGGGCTTCTCTGACCTGGCCCGGGACGGTGCTCAGGGTCACTGAACTCTGACCTTCCCGCGCCAGGCCCCCTCTCGTCTTAGAACCAGCTCACGGAACTTGCTGACCCGGCAGGACCCTCCCCCCGGGGAACCTTCCCTGGGTCTTGAGCCAGCCCCGCACCGGTCCTTCTGCTCTTTAAGCGCACTGCTCACACCTGGCGAAGCCAGGGCAGTGTGGGGCGGGGAGGGGCCTCTCGGGAGGGGCGCAGGGCTCGCTCACTTGGACACTCCGGGGCATGAGCCCCCGCAGAACGTGAGGTTGACCGGGGCCCGAGTGGCGCAGCCCTGGTGTGTCAGGATTGTTCTGTTGACGCGGACTTGGCACTTGTCTGGGCAGATGGAGGAAAGGCGGTGGAGGTGCGGGAGGGGACCTCTGAGGATCCCGACCTAGGGCCGCTCCCCGCGCGCCACCCTCCCGAGCCCCGCGCTCAGGGTGGGGTCCTGGGGCCAAGGGCAGCTTCGGGCAGAAATCAACGGATGGAGACTGGGCGGAGGTGGAGGGCGGGTAGGCGGGCCTGGACTTACCCACTTCCTCACAGGAGTAACAGCAGCCGGTTTTCCTGAGGATGCCCTGAAAGGGTTGGGGGGAGACAGAGGGTGGGCTGGGGGCGGGGCGGGGCCTCCAGGGCGGTGGGGGGCGGGCGGATGATCTGGGGGGGCGGGGCCTCCCGTTGGAGATGTGGGCGGAGCCTCCGAGGCTGTGGGGGTCCAGGCTGAGACTCTGGGGTGTGTTGGGCTGGGCCTCTGCCTTGGGGCAGCCCGAGCCCCAGGACACACCTGGCAGCTGGACACGTCCGGGCAGGGCGTGGGCCTCAGAGTGAGCACGTGGAGCCCGTTCTTGACCTCGCAGCGGTACTCCGTGCAGTTGTCCACGAGGCTGTTGACCCAGGTCTCGTTGGGCTGAAATGCAACGGGGAAGGTGGAGGCTCGCAGGGAATTATCTGGTGAGCTGAGAGGGGCCGAAAGGAAGGGTCTCCCAGCTGGGGGGCTGAGACCGAACCCCCTCTTACCTGGACCAGCCAGCCATCCTCCGTGGGACAGGCTGTCTGCACGCACTCCCCACAGCATTGTCCGGCCACCTTCCAGTACTCGTAGCCCTGAGGGACAGGGGTGGTTCCATGGGTACCCCCAGTCCTACTCCCCAGCCCTCCTGCCCTCCCGTCCACACCCTAAGGGCCCAGCGACCTCCTTGGCAACCCCGGTCCCTGTGAAGCCATGTCCCTGCCCAGGGCTGGGTGTGCCCAGGAGGGCTTACCTGGCGGCAGGTAGTGTTACAGATGTTCTCCTCACACTGCACGATTGGGCCCTGGGTGTCCCCGGACAGGCAGGTGCACGTGTGGCAGGGAGTGACGGATGGGAAGGTTGTACCGATCTGCAGTGGACCGGGTGAGTGGAGGTGACATTGAGGACAGTGGCGGGGGCCCCAGGGCCAGGACCCCTCCCTGCGGCTGGATGGGCTGGGAGAAGGGGAGGCCTACAGAGAGCGGGTTCTTTCTTCTTCAAATGGAATTATGCTTGTGCCCCTGGCTGAGCACAGACCAGGGCAGAGGCAGGACCCCAGGCCGGCTGGAGGGGCTGGGAGGGCACGGTCCCACCCCAACACTCTTGCCATGAGGACGCTCCTGGGACACCCCAAGCCAGCAGCTCCCCCAGGTGCTCGACAGACAGGGCTGCCCCGTGTCCCCCTCGCCGTGTCCCCACGTGGCTCTAAAGGGCCCGGAGCCCCCACGCTTATCCCCTGTCCTGCAGGAGGGTGCAGGCGGGGCCGGGCATGTGCAGATGAGGGGTGGAGGTCCCATGTGGATGAGCTGAGCCTGGGGCCCCACCCGCTGCTACTCATCCCACTCAGCCGCCCGGCGGTGAGCCCTTACCTCGTAGGCAGTGTGATTGTAGTAACACAGCTGAGGTCCTGGAAGGAAAGGGGGGCTGAGCACCTGCCCGGCTGGTGGGCAGGAAGGGCTCCGACACTCCCCCACCCCCGAGCCTCCAGCCCCACTCACGGCAGATGAAGGTGGGGCAGCAATCACCCTCCTTCTGGGTGCGGATCAGCTCCTCTCCCGGCCCACATTTGGGTGGGCTCTGGGGGCAGGTGGTCGTGTCGCAGACTGTGGGAGAGTTGGGGTGCCGTCAGGGGGCCCCTCGCTGTACCAGGGCACACCAGAGGTCGGCGGCCTCATTCTCCTGCCACACTGGTCCAGCCTCAGCCACTCCTCGGCCCGCAACTACCCCCGCCCCCCCGTCACCCTCCGGCCAGTGGGGCACAGGGCTCACCGCACAGCGTCCCCAGACAGCATGAGTTGTTGGCCAGAGGCCTGGTCTCGGCCACAAAGCCCGCCTGGCTGCACTGCGGGGGCTGTTCCGGGGCCTCACACAGCACGGGGGTGCACTGCACTGACAAGGAGCCCTCGTGGCACTCGCAGTCCTGGCAGTTGCTGACCCACCGCTCCCCAGGCTGGAACAGAGCAGTTAGGGTCCCTGGAGACTCCTGGACCGGGCCCTGGCCTCTTGGGCTGCCTCCAGCAGCAGGGAAGGCCCCAGCCTCAGTGTGGCCAGCTCAGCCCTCGGCCTCCCGCTCAAGCTGCCATCCTGGAGCAGCCCACGGGACAGGGCTGTGTCTCACACCGGGGTGCCCCACACCAGCCCCCACAGGGGCTGCCCGGGCAGAGCAGGGTGCCCTGAGATGGGGCCCTCCCTCCCTCTGCTCAAGCCAGGGGGCAGGTAGCTGAGGAGCAGAACACTCACAGATTTGGGAAACCCATCTGGTCCCACACAGGCTGGAAGGGAAGAAGAAAAGGGGTTCAGTTGGCGTGCGGGGGTCCCAGACCCAGTGGGCAGAGATCACAGGCCCTGACACGTGTCCTTGCAGGCCTGGCCGCCCCACCCCCAGCCAGGGCTCTTCTTCCTGCTGGGGACAGGAGCCCCGGAGAACTCGGTGTCGTGGCCACACTGCACCCTCAGGGTGGGCACTGGGCTAGGAGAGCAAGCACCCGGGAGGGATGGTCCCCCGCTAGGGTCTTCCCACCCCAGGCCCTCGGCCTCCGGCTCTGCAGCAGCTCCGGGGTCAGGGCCGCTGGGGCTGTGCTCACCGCACTCGAGCACGCAGACGTTCGTGTGTGTGTTGAAGAGGGTGTGTCCGTCGGGGCAGAAGCAGCCTTCTGCCAGCCCCCTGCCCGCTCTGCTCTGGCTCCTGCAAGGCCAGGAGGGCATTCCTGGGACCCTCGAACCATGGAAGCGGCAGTCCGGGGTGGGGGGAAGGGCAGAGGGCATGGCAGAGTGCTGGGTTGACCAGCCGCCCAGGGCCCGGAGGCGGGGTTCAGAGGTCGGGCTGCGGGGAAGGAAGCCCCAGGGACCTGAGGCTGGGGGCGCATTGCAGACCCTCCCGGCCCGCCGCACACTCTTCAGGCAGGCTTTACCTGGAGTCGCAGGATGCGGGCTGTGCAGGGCCGCAGGGCTGGTACACCTTGTCGGGCGGGCAGGTGAAGTCTGGGATCACAGAGACAGGAGTCAGGTGGGCCGAGGGGGCCGGAGCGCCCGGGGCCGCCCTGACTCACCGCACAGCCCGCTGGTGGCATTCCGCCAGTTGCTGCAGGCGCCCCGGGCGCGGCAGAGGGCCGCATAGGCCTCCAGGCTCCCGCAGGGCGCCCTGGGGCTGTCCGCCTGGCAGCCGTCACTGACGCAGGAGCTGACGAACGGGTCGGGTGGGATGAGGGTGTGGCACTCTGCGAAGAGCCTGCGGGAAGGGGCGGTCAGAGGCCGGGGCAGGGGGCAGCCTGCCGCCCCACGACCGCCAGACCCGCAGGAGCGACTCACGGGCTCCGCAGCAGTTCGCAGAGGGGCGCCGGGGGGCACGGGGAGGAGGCGGGCGTGCTGGGTGCTGAGGGCGCGGGGCCAGCCGTCGGGGGCGGGCGGGTAGGCGCCCAGCAGGCCTCCCGGCCCCTCTCGGGAACCAGCCAGCGGTGGGCCATGTCTTGGCAGGTGGGGGCCATGGTTCCGCCGGGCTGGCGGCAGTCGTCCGTCTGGCTGTTGGTGCAGGTGCCTGGGAGGCGGGGCAGCAGGGTCAAGCTCTCCACCCCCCCCCCACCCGTGCTGAGCGGCTGTGGCCGGGGCGCCCCTGGCCCCCACGCACCACACTGGCCCTCGGTGTTGTGGCTGAAGCGGCTGTAGGACAGCTGGATGTGGAAGAGGTGCCCGTTGAAGGTGATGTTCACGCCAATGGCAGGGATGTCGATGCCCATCGTGGTCGTCCCCGTCACCGACACACTCACGCCATTCTTGCTGAAGCCCGAGCTCACTTGGATTTGGTCGAACAGGATCTGGGGATGTGTCGGGGGGATCCATGACTGGGTGTTGGGGCAGCAGGGCCTGCCTTCGGGGCTCGGCCTCACACCCCAAAGTGCAGATGCTCCCCTTGGGGCCTGGGGCCCCAGTCGGCCATGCTCAGGTCCCTGCCCCAGGTGCCTCTGGGAGCTGACCTCCGGGCCCGCAGCCCTTCCCTGGTGACGCCGGGACAGGGCCACTCACCAGGCTCTGCTCCTGCCCGCGGATGCTGGTGCTGGTGGTAAGGATGACCTCCATGGACTTGTAGTGGATGCTGAGGGCACGGGGACAGTGGGCGGCGGCCGTGGTGGCCCCGGTGGGCCCGCAGTAGTAGTTGTTCATGTAGATGCTGAGGTTCCCGTAGCGTGGGCGGATCTCCTTCATGAGCACGTGGGTGCAGTTGTCCCGAAAGGAGTAGGAAGTGCCGTCGAAAGTGGTGTAGTGCGAGTCCCCCCAGCCGCTGCAGGAGCCTGCGGGGCATGGACGGTCCCCTCACCCAGTGCCACCCCAAAATGGCCACCTCAGGGGAGCCCCCTGGGCCCCAGTTGGCCCTGGCTGCCTTTCTTATAAAAGGGGGTGGAGTGGGTTGCATGGTGGCCCCAAAGGCGTGTCCCCATGTCCAACCCAGACCCTGAGAATGTGCCCTCATCTGGGAAGAGATCTTCGTGTCTGTGATTAAGTTAAGGACCCCGAGATGACACCAGCCGGGATCACCCAGGTGGCCCTAACCCAGTGACAAGTGTCCTTGCAGGAGAGAGAGGAGCGGCCGTCGGAAGACGAGGCCGTGGCTGGAGGCTCGCAGCCACAAGTCCTGGATGCCTGGAGCCCCCAAAGCTGAGAAGGCAGGAAGGGCCCTCCCTGCAGCCTCCGGAGAGAGAGAATTGGTCATTGCTGATGTTGTGACCCCCATGTGTGGCACTCGCTTCCCCCCAGAACCTGACGCCCACACCATCCAGGGGCCAAGCCAGAAGCGCTCCCCGCAGGAAGCTCCAGGAGGGACGCTCAGGAATCCCTGGGATGACAGCCCCCTGACCCCGGGCCCCCTTCCAGCCACAGAGGCTGCCGTGCGGGTGGGCTCAGCAAACCTGGGCCTTCCCCCTGCTCTGGCGGCGCGTCACCCTCTCTGGCCGGCACTATGTGCTACGGCCCTGGCTCCCTGCGTGCCCCCGATGCCCTCTGCCCGGAGCGACCGCCCCTCACCCGCCCCCGCTTACACTCGCACTCGAAGTGGAAGTCACACGGCTCGCTCTCCTGCGACACTCTGACCGGAGGGTGTCCGTTCACGCAGCGGATGCTGGCCGCCGGCTTCCGCCCCAGCAGGACCACCCGGTTGTGGCCCTCACACAGAGCCACCGTGCAGTCCGACAGGGTCCAGGACTCGTTCACCTGGGAGAGAGTGGGCATGGTGCTCACCAGCTGGGACCACGAGACCTGCCCCCACCGCCCCGCCACAGCCTCAGGTCCCGCCTTCCCGGGGCAGAGCTGCCCTGGGTCCTGGCCACCCCGGTGCCGTCCCAGCCCCAACCCCGAGTGCCTTCCTCCAGCCAGAGCTGCCGTGCAGGGCTCCAGGGGGCCACAGTGACCCCGGGCCGGGCTGGGCCCCCCATCAGCGCCCCAACCAGGCACACAGCGCAGGCAGGAGGCGCACCTGTCGGGCAGGGACGATGAGGTCGCAGCCCTGAGGCTGGGAGGACGAGGCCGTGGGGGCCGAAGAGGACTCGGGGGGCGAAGAGGTGGGGCAGGTGTCCTGGAAGCGGTCAATGTCGCAGTGCTGGTTGCAGATGGCATAGAAGGAGCAGCCCGCACCGTCTGTCTTATTGTAGACCACGTCCCCTGTGAGGAGAGAATCACCAAGACAGACACGGCAGCGTCAGCTCCGGAGAGGTCGGGAGGCACAGTGCGCGGGGTGGACAGTGGGCAGGGAATGACGGGCTCCTCCACTCACCAGGTGAGAAGAGCTGCCCAAACACCCGGCAGAGGCAGGGGGTGGTGAAGTTCCAGCTGGGGGACACAGGGGTCCCCGGGGTGCTGAGGACAGATGTGGACGCCATGGTCACTGTCACTGCTGGCAAGGTATGGGTGGCCGTGGCCCTGGAGGCGGCCGTGGAGAGGCCCAAGGTGGTGCCGGGCGGAGAGCTGGTGGCCGAGGGCGTGGGGGGTGATAGGGAGGCTCCAGGGCTGGGCCCTGTGCTGGAGGTGGCCGGGGCTGTGCTGGGCACAGTACTGGGGAGGCCGGGCCAGGTCTTGGTGTGCCAGGGTGTGGATGCACTGCCTTGGGGGCTGAGTGTGGAGGCCGTGGAGACCCGGATAAGGGGCACAGAGTGGAATGGCGTGGTGGGCCCCCTGGTGGGCGTCGCTGGGGATGGCGTGGTGGCCCCCGTGGTGGGCGTCGCTGGGGATGGCGTGGTGGCCCCCGTGGAGGGCGTCGCTGGGGATGGCGTGGTGGCCCTCGTGGTGGGCATGCCTGGGGACGGCATGGTGGCCCCCGTGGTGGGCGTGCCTGGGGATGGCGTGGTGCGACCCGTGGTGGGTGTCGCTGGGGACGGCGTGGTGGCCCCCGTGGAGGGCGTCGCTGGGGATGGCGTGATGCGCCCCGTGGTGGGTGTCGCTGGGGACGGCGTGGTGGCCCCCGTGGAGGGCGTCGCTGGGGACGGCGTGGTGGCCCCCGTGGAGGGCGTCGCCGGGGACGGCGTGGTGGCCCCCGTGGTGGGTGTCGCCGGGGATGGCATGGTGGCCCCCATGTTGGGCGTGCCTGGGGACGACGTGGTGCGCCCCGTGGTGGGCGTCACTGGGGATGGCGTGGTGGCCCCCGTGGAGGGCGTCACTGGGGACGGCGTGGTGGCCCCCGTGGTGGGTGTGCCTGGGGACGGCGTGGTGGCCCCCATGGAGGGCGTCGCTGGGGACGGCGTGGTGGCCCCCGTGGTGGGTGTCGCCGGGGATGGCGTGGTGGCCCCCATGTTGGGCGTGCCTGGGGATGGCGTGGTGCGCCCCGTGGTGGGTGTGCCTGGGGACGGCGTGGTGGCCCCCATGGTGGGCGTGCCTGGGGACGACGTGGTGCGCCCCGTGGTGGGCGTCGCTGGGGACGGCGTGGTGGCCCCCGTGGAGGGCGTCGCTGGGGACGGCGTGGTGGGCCCCGTGGCCGTGGCTCCTGCACAGTGGCCGGGGTCCTCACAGCAGAGCACGCGCACGTGGTAGTTGTGGCAGTAGGGCAGGGGCCCCGGCTGCTCGCGGTTGCGGCACACCAGCCCGAAGCTCACGTTGCACTGGACCACCTGGCCCAAGTCCTCCAGACGCGCGTGCGGCGCCCTCTCCGATCGGCACTGGATGTCCCAGGGGCGCTGGCAGAAGTCGTGCCCCGCTGAGCGGAAAACCGAGAAGGTCTCGAAGTCCCCGCCGTCCAGGCCCGGTATGGGGTAGTCCTCATCGAACCAGTCTGTCCACGTGCACCGTGGGCTGCAGCCCGTGGAGGACGAGGTGGCCACAGAGTGCGTGGTGGAGCTGGGCGGCAGGGACGTGGAGACCAGCGTGGTCCCGAGGGTGGCCGTGTTGGGCGTGGACTCGGGGGGGATCCACGTGCTGGAGGTCACCACGGGGACTGTGGTGGGTGCACTGGGTGAGGTGGGCTTGGTGGTGGCCGTCGGGGTCCTCAGGGAGGCAGAGGGACCGGGGCTGGAGACCCTCTCTGTGGTCCTGGCAGGGGTAGCAAGCGTCTGGGTGGTGGAGACAGGGACCCCCTGGGTGGTCTCGGGGGAGGAGGATCCTGACTGGGTGGTCCTGGGGGAGGAAGGAAAAATCTGGGTGGTGGATACAGTGACTCTCTGCATGGTCTCTGGGGAGGAGGGCTGGGTGGTGGTGGTGCTCAGCTTAATGACCCCAGATGACATTTGGCCTAAGCTAGGGCTGGTGGTAGAGACAGTGACCCCCAGGGTGGTCCCAGGGGAGGAGGGTCCTGTCTGGGAGGTGAGGCTAGTGACCCCCAGGGTGGTCCCAGGGGAGGAGGGTCCTGTCTGGGAGGTGAGGCTAGTGCCCCCTAGGGTGGTCTTGGGGGAGGAGGGGCCAGTCTGGGAGGTGAGGCTAGTGACCCCCAGGGTGGTCCCGGGGGAGGAGGGGCCGGTCTGGGAGGTGAGGCTAGTGACCCCCAGGGTGGTCCCAGGGGAGGAGGGTCCTGTCTGGGAGGTGAGGCTAGTGCCCCCTAGGGTGGTCTTGGGGGAGGAGGGGCCGGTCTGGGAGGTGAGGCTAGTGACCCCCAGGGTGGTCCTGGGGGAGGAGGGGCCAGTCTGGGAGGTGGGGCTAGTGACCCCCAGGGTGGTCCCAAGGGAGGAGGGTCCTGTCTGGGATGTGAGGCTAGTGACCCTCACGGTGGCCCAAGGGGAGGAGGGTCCTGTCTGGGAGGTGGAGCTAGTGACCCTCAGGGTAATTCTGGGGGAGGAAGGTCCTGTCTGGGAGGTGAGGCTAGTGACCCCGAGGGTGGTCCCTGAGGAGTAGGGTCCTGTCTGGGAGGTGGGGCTAATGACCCCCAGGGTGGTCCCGGGTGAGGAGGGTCCCGTCTGGGAGGTGAGGCTAGTGACCCCCAGGGTGGTTCCAGTGGAAGAGGGTCCTCTCTGGGAGCTGAAGCTAGTGACCCCCACGGTGGTCCCGGGTGAGGAGGGTCCCATCTGGGAGGTGGGGCTAGTGACCCTCACGGTGGTCCTGGGGGAAGAGGGTCCTGTCTGGGAGGTGAGGCTAGTGACCCCGAGGGTGGTCCCTGAGGAGTAGGGTCCTGTCTCGGAGGTGGGGTTAGTGACCCTCAGGGTAGTCCCAGGGGAGGAGGGTCCCGTCTGGGAGGTGGGACTAGTGACCCCCAGGGTGGTCCCGGGTGAGGAGGGTCCTGTCTGGGAGGTGGGACTAGTGACCCCCAGGGTGGTCCCGGGTGAGGAGAGTCCCGTCTGGGAGGTGGGACTAGTGACCCCCAGGGTGGTCCCGGGTGAGGAGGGTCCTATCTGGGAGGTGGGGCTCGTGATCCCCAGGGTGGTCCCAGGGGAGGAGGGTCCTGTCTGGGAGGTGGGACTAGTGACCCTCAGGGTGGTCCCAGGGGAGGAGGGTCCTATCTGGGAGGTGGGACTAGTGACCCTCAGGGTGGTCCCAGGGGAGTAGGGTCCTATCTGGGAGGTGGGGCTAGTGACCCTCAGGGTGGTCCTGGGGGAAGAGGGTCCTGTCTGGGAGGTGAGGCTAGTGACCCCCAGGGTGGTCTCAGGGGAGGAGGGTCCCGTCTGGGAGGTGGGACTAGTGACCCCCAGGGTGGTCCCGGGGGAGGAGGGGCCCGTCTGGGAGGTGGGACTAGTGACCCCCAGGGTGGTCCCGGGGGAGGAGGGTCCCATCTGGGAGATGAGGCTAGTGACCCCCAGGGTGGTCCCGGGGGAGGAGGGGCCGGTCTGGGAGGTGGGGCTCGTGACCCCCGATGAACTTCGTCGAGTGCTGGTGCTGGTGGGCTCCGTGGCGGGGGAGTTGGTGCAGTGGCTCTTGTCTTCACAGCAGAGCACGCGGATGTGGTAGTTGAGGCAGGTACGGCCCCCCCTCTGCCAGTTGTTCCTGCAAATGAGCCCATAGTTCACATCACACCGCACGTCCTGGCCCAGCTGCCCCAAGGGCACATCCGGGTAGAGCACAGCCTGGCACTCGATGGCCTCGGGCTCCATACAGAGCTGGCTGCCAGTGTCCCAGATGTGGTAGTAGGTCTCGATGTCCCCCCCGTAGCGGCCGGGCAGGGGCTGGTCGCTGTCCAGCCAGGCGGTCCAGCGGCAGGCGGGCTGGCACTTGGAGGAGGCCGCGGTCCGGCCGGTTTTGGGGGCCGTAGGACTGGAGGCCGTGGTGCTGGTGGCCGGCGTGGGGGTCAGACCCAGCCTGGTGCTCTGCGTGGTGACCACGGTGGTGGCCAGGGTGCTGGGGCAGTGGCCGTAGTCCTCACAGCAGAGCACACGGATGTGATAGTTGAGGCACATCTTGACCGGGCCGGCCTGGTCCTGATTACGGCACACCAGGCCGTCCTCCAGGCTGCAGCGCACCACCTGGCCCAGCTCCTGCAGGGGCGTCTCTGGCCGCCCCTCCGCCCGGCATTGCAGTTCCAGCGGCTGCTTGCAGATGGCTTTGCCCGTGGTCCGGAGGTTGGCGAAGGTCTCGAAGTCCCCACCAGAGGCCCCCGGCACCGGGTAGCTCTCGTCTAGCCAGTCCGTCCACGCACAGCGGGGCTCACAGGCCGTGGACCCGGCCACGGGGGATGGGGGGGCCTGTGTGTGACTGGAGGTCACAGGCTGGGGGATCTCGAATTTGCCCGTGGGTGCCGTGGCCCTGGAGGCGGCCGTGGAGAGGCCCAAGGTGGTGCCGGGCGGAGAGCTGGTGGCCGAGGGCGTGGGGGGTGATAGGGAGGCTCCAGGGCTGGGCCCTGTGCTGGAGGTGGCCGGGGCTGTGCTGGGCACAGTACTGGGGAGGCCGGGCCAGGTCTTGGTGTGCCAAGGTGTGGATGCACTGCCTTGGGGGCTGAGTGTGGAGGCCGTGGAGACCCGGATAAGGGGCACAGAGTGGAATGGCGTGGTGGCCCCCGTGGTGGGCGTGCCTGGGGACGGCGTGGCGCGCCCCGTGGTGGGCGTGCCTGGGGATGGCGTGGTGCGCCCCGTGGTGGGTGTCGCTGGGGACAGCGTGGTGGCCCCCGTGGAGGGTGTCGCTGGGGACGGCGTGGTGGCCCCCGTGGAGGGCGTCGTTGGGGACGGCGTGGTGGCCCCCATGGTGGGTGTGCCTGGGGACGGCGTGGTGGCCCCCGTGGAGGGCGTCACTGGGGACGACGTGGTGCGCCCCGTGGTGGGCGTCGCTGGGGATGGCGTGGTGGCCCCCGTGGAGGGCGTCGCTGGGGACGGCGTGGTGGCCCCCGTGGTGGGTGTGCCTGGGGACGGCGTGGTGGCCCCCGTGGAGGGCGTCACTGGGGACGGCGTGGTGGGCCCCGTGGTGGGTGTGCCTGGGGACGGCGTGGTGGCCCCCATGGTGGGCGTGCCTGGGGACGATGTGGTGCGCCCCGTGGTGGGCGTCGCTGGGGACGGCGTGGTGGGCCCCGTGGCCGTGGCGCCTGCACAGTGGCCGGGGTCCTCACAGCAGAGCACGCGCACGTGGTAGTTGTGGCAGTAGGGCAGGGGCCCCGGCTGCTCGCGGTTGCGGCACACCAACCCGAAGCTCACGTTGCACTGGACCACCTGGCCCAAGTCCTCCAGACGCGCGTGCGGCGCCCTCTCCGATCGGCACTGGATGTCCCAGGGGCGCTGGCAGAAGTCGTGCCCCGCTGAGCGGAAAACCGAGAAGGTCTCGAAGTCCCCGCCGTCCAGGCCCGGTATGGGGTAGTCCTCATCGAACCAGTCTGTCCACGTGCACCGGGGGCTGCAGCCCGTGGAGGACGAGGTGGCCATGGAGTGCGTGGTGGAGCTGGGCGGCGGGGACGTGGAGACCAGCGTGGTCCCAAGGGTGGCCGTGTTGGGCGTGGACTCGGGGGGGATCCACGTGCTGGAGGTCACCACGGGGACCGTAGTGGGTGCACTGGGTGAAGTGGGCTTGGTGGTGGCCGTCGGGGTCCTCAGGGAGGCAGAGGGACCGGGGCTGGAGACCCTCTCTGTGGTCCTGGCAGGGGTAGCAAGCGTCTGGGTGGTGGAGACAGGGACCCCCAGGGTGGTCCCGGGGGAGGAGGCATGGGTCTGGCTGGACGCTGTGGTCGTGGCTCCTGGCCTCGGCGACGTGGGGCCCCCGGTGGCGGTGCTGCGGGTGCTGGGGGCGGCGGTGCTGGGGCAGTGTGGCACCGGGAGGCAACAGAGCACGCGGACGTTGTAGTTGAAGCATATGTTGAAAGGCGCCTTCTGGTCCCGGTTCTTGCAGACCAGCCCCGTGTGCAGGCTGCAGCTGAGCACCTGTCCGATCCGGTCGATGCTGACCTCAGGGTAGTTCTCTGCGCGGCACTCGATCTTCTGGGGCTCCTCGCACAGCGTGCCCCCGGCAGCCCTGATGTTTTCGAAGGTCTCCAGGTCCCCACCCTCGACCCCGGAGGTCGGGAAGTCCACGTCAAACCAGTCTGTCCACTCGCACTGTGGCTGACAGCCCGCTGTGCTCTGCGTGGCAGTGGTCTTGGGCGTGGCCATTCCCAGGGTCCCCGGCGATGTCCTTGCTGTGGTCGTGTGCATCTCTGTGGGTGGGGTGGACGGGGCTCTGGTGGCCACGGTGCCTGTTGTGGCTCCCGTCACTGTGGAAGTCGTGTGGATAGGTGGGGTCCCCCTGGAGGGGCTTCCTGTGGTTCTCTGCACCGTGGTCTGTGTCCGTGGCCCAGGGGTGGGCTCTGCACAGTGGTCGTGGCTGCAGCAGAGCACGCGGATCCTGTAGTTGTAGCACATCCTGAACGGGCCCACCTGCTCCTCGTTCCTACACACCAGGCCGAAGCTGGCGTCACAGAGCACGCGCTGGCCCAGCTCCGCGGGGCTGCTGCCGGGGAAGTTCTCAGCCTGGCACTCTATGTCCAGAGGCTGCTCGCACACGGCCCCTCCTGCGCTCCTGATCTTGTCGTACGACTCGATGTCCCCCCCGGCCTCCTCAGACTTGGGGTAGTCCTCGTCGAACCACTCCGTCCACTGACACCGGGGCCGGCAGGAGGTGGTGGCCAAGGCCGGGGTGCTGCTTGGCGCCGGGGTTCCTATCGTGGTGGGCTCCGCAGGCGGGGTCTGCGTGGCGGGGGTGGACAGGGTCCTGGCCGGTGGCTGCGGGGTGGTGGCCCCAGGGGAGGTGCCGCAGGGCAGGTAGTCACAGCAGAGGACCCGCAGCTCGTAGTTGTGGCAGAGCGGGGGGCTCTGCTCGCTGTTGAGGCAGGTCAGCCCCCGGGCCACATCGCACTCCACCTTCTGGCCCAGCTGCTGCAGCGGGGTGTCGGGGAGCTTCTGTGCCCGGCACTCGATGCTCGCCGGGGCCAGGCACACCTGGTAGCCCCTCTGCCTCAGGTTCACAAACGTCTCGAAGTCCCCACCTGCCATGCCGGGCTCTGGGGGGCCGCCGTCGAACCAGTCGGACCAGAGGCAGAGCTCATGCACACACACGGTGGAGACGATGGGGCTCGAGCCTGGGGGCGGGGGCGGGGACCTCGTCAGCCTCCTCTGCACCCCTGCCAGCCATGCCCAGGAGCAGCGGTGACCTGGGGCCGTGGGTCGTGGGTCGCGCCGAGGACGCCTGCTCTGACCTCCTCCCGCTCTGCCCAGACTGTTGCCTGGGGTTGGGGCTCAGGAGGAGGGGGCAGGCCCAGCAGGGCGTCTGCCAGGCTCACCTGTCGAGGAGAGCGGGGCCACGGTAGTGGTGAAGGTGGAGGATGTTGTGGATGGGGTTCCAGGACATTCCACAGCCCTGCGCAGGATCGTTCCGTTGTGTCCACAGATGGCCATCAAGCAGGCGCCGAGCCCATCGGTCATGTTGTAGATGACGTCCTCGTAATGGTAGGTCCTGCCCTTGTAGACGCAGGTGCAGGCTGGGAGACAGGGCCGGCACAGGGCTCACTTGCAGCCCCCAGCCCCCAGCCCCCAGCCCCCAGCCCCGTGTGGCGCCCCTCAGCCTTACCCGCAAGGCTGTGCGTGCACCGGAGGCCGCCAGCACTGCATTCACTGGGGAGGAGGAGAGGAGAGTGCTGAGGGCCTGCTGGCCGCACCAGCACCCCTCCCGGGCGCCCCGGCCTACTCACCACCCGCCCCCTCACCAGCTCTGGCAGTTCTCTGCTGCGGGGACCCTCGCGCCCACATCGTGGTAGTTCCCGTCCTCATCATAGCAGCCACACTGGGCCACGCACTTCATCTGGTCCTCGCTAAAGAACGGCTCGCTGGGTGGGCACTTCGGGTAGCAGCCTGGGCGGGCACAGCGCGGAGGAGACTCACCCTTGTGGCCAGGTGCTGGGTGCTGCCCAGGGTGGTCACCCCGCCGCCTGTGCCCTTCCCTGCCCCTCACCTTCCAGGCCCGGCAGGTCGTGCAGACAGCGGCCGCTCGGGTTCCGGCAGGTCCTCATGCAGGGCGCCCCGCATGGCTGGTAGTGCCATTCACACTGGTCCTCGGGGTTGTAGTAGTCGCAGAACAGGGCTGTGGGCAAGCGGGCGGCTCAGTGGGCCAGCTCCGGCCCGGAGTGAGCCACCCTGCGGCCCCAGCGGGGTGCTGCCCTTGCAAGGTGGCCTTGGGGGCCCCACACGGGCCGGGCAAGCTCCCCTGCCCCCAGCCTTCCACCAAGTCTCGTGGGCTGCTCTCACGCCATTCCCTCCCTGCGCCTTCCGGATGGGGCCTTGGAGCAGATGGGCCTCGGATGCCCGTGGTCAGATGCAGCCGTGGGTCCCCTGGCTTCTTGGGGGTGCCACCCATTGGGGTGGGGGACTCCGGCCAGAGCGGCCCCACAGCGATGCTCCCCACTGGCCAGGTGCCAACCGGGTGGGAGGTGGGGGCTCTGCTAACCCCTCTCGGCTCCAGAACACTCTGCCATCTCTCCACCGGCGACACCCACCCCCCATTCCCACGTTTCACTTCCCTTTCCAACGCCTCCGGCCCAACCCGTAGCCGACCAGCCTTAACCACACACTACTCTGTCAGTCCCTGCGGCCCCCTCCACCCTGACGACGCAGCATGTGCACTCACGGCAGATGGCCGGGGTCCGCCAGGACACGCACACGCCCACGTCGTGGCAGGCCTGGGCGTAGGCGGCCACCGCCGTGCAGAAACACTCAGAATCGCCCCCCGAGTCACAGGCGCACACGTCGCCCACGCAGGCCTCGTAGTACCTGGCGGGGTCGACCTGGGGGGAGGGGAAGAGCCTTCGGATTCGGGGTCTGGGGCTCCTGGGGGTCAGGCCTGCGGTGTGGCCCGACCTGGGCCGGTCTCCCCCAGAGCCAGGGACAGCGGATGCGTGGGCCCCCGGGGCTGACCACAGGCTGACCTAAAGGGTGGACGGTGACGTGGGCCCCCCGACTTCTGCCCGCCCCTTCCTTCCCGGGCGCCCCGGGGAACGGCCGCATACGTGGGCATGGCAGGCGGCGAAGGTGGCGCTGTTGATGATGCTGCACTGCTTCTGGGCCCAGGACTTGCGATACGGGTTGGCGGTGCAGGGGTCCCTGGGGGCCAGGGCGTCGGGGCAGGACGGGGAGAACTTCCAGCTGTTGCCGAACTCCAGGGCGCTGCTCACCACGGACTGGCTCCGCGTGGTGAAGTCATTGATGGCGTTGTCGTCAAAGTTCCCACACAGCCCACAGACCCGGCCCTGCAGACGGGGGACGGCGGCACGGGGGGCTCAGGGCGTGCAGGAGGGGCCAGAGCCCAGCCCAGCCCGGCAAGGGGCACTCCGGGGCAGTGCCCTGTGAACTTGCAGGATGGCGGGGCACACAGTGGGCCCTATGGTCAGCAGGGGGCAAGTGGACAGGTGAGCAGGGGGCAGGCAGGCAGGTGGACAGGTGCAGGGGGCAGGCAGGCAGGTGGACAGGTGAGCAGGGGACAGGCAGGCAGGTGGACAGGTGAGGAGGGGACAGGCAGGCGGGTGGGCAGGTGCAGGGGACAGGCAGGCAGGCAGGTGGACAGGTGAGCAGGGGACAGGCAGGCAGGTGGACAGGTGAGCAGGGGGCAGGCAGGCAGGTGGACAAGTGCCGGGGACAGGCAGGCAGGCAGGTGGACAAGTGAGCAGGGGACAGGCAGGTGGGCAGGTGAGCAGGGGGCAGGCAGGCAGGTGGACAGGTGAGCAGGGGACAGGCAGGCAAATGGACACTTGAGCAGCAGGCAGGCAGGCAGGTGGACAGGTGAGCAGGGGGCAGGCAGGCAGGTGGACAGGTACAGTGGACAGGCAGACAGGTGGACGGGTGCAGGGAGCAGGCAGGCAGGCAGGTGGACAGGTGAGCAGGGGGCAGGCAGGCAGGTGGACAGGTACAGTGGACAGGCAGACAGGCAGACAGGTGGACAGGTGCAGGGGGCAGGCAGGCAGGCAAATGGACACTTGAGCAGCAGGCAGGCAGGCAGGTGGACAGGTGAGCAGGGGGCAGGCAGGCAGGTGGACAGGTACAGTGGACAGGCAGACAGGTGGACGGGTGCAGGGGGCAGGCAGGCAGGCAGGTGGACAGGTGAGCAGGGGGCAGGCAGGCAGGTGGACAGGTACAGTGGACAGGCAGACAGGTGGACAGGTGCAGGGGGCAGGCAGGCAGGTGGACAGGTGAGCAGGGGGCAGGCAGGCAGGTGGACAGGTGAGCAGCGGGCAGGCAGGCAGGTGGGCAGATGGGGAGTGGACAGGTGGGCAAGCAGGCCCAGTGGGCATGGGGACACCAGGGAGCAAGAACAGCATTCTAAGCAGGACTCTGCCTATTGGTCTGTTTGGTCTCAACACAGGCCTTTCAGAAATCGGCGTTGTGAGTGGACTCGCCCTGGCCCTCAGTGGAGTGTCAGCTGCCAGACGGCCCCTTGGGAGCCAGATCTAGGAGTAGGGGCTCTGACCCTGCCTGAAGGGGTCCACAGCCCGCCCATTCTCACCTTGTAGTCCTGCTGCAGTCGGATGAACAGGCTTGTCTTCCGGTCCCAGGACAGCACCAGGCCACTGTGAGTCTCCACGGTCAGGTAGATGCCCATGTACCGGACCTTGTAGGGCAGGTCTCCGCCCGGCCCCCTCTGCACCACCTTGTAGGTGCCTTCATGCAAGACCAGCTCATAGTTCTGCAGAGGGCACACGGAGGTGGTGGCTGCAGGGACTGAGAGGCATGCTTGGGGGCCAGAGCCCACCGACCTACAGTAGTCAGGGGCCCAAGGCACAGGACTGGGGTCAAGGATGAGCTGGCTCCGGACACTGTCAGCGAACAGGAAGCCAGAGGCCAAGCAGGGTGTGCTGGGAGCCCGGGGAGGTCACGTGGAAGGTTGGGGCCACAGGCCAGTGGGGCTGATGCCCCCGGCCAACCGTGCGGCTCCCTGTCTGGTGAACTCTGGCGTCCCTCTGCTGGAATTGGGTACCCTGATGTAGTGGGCTGAACGCAGGCCCCCCAAAAGGTGTGTCCACATTCCAGCCCCTGGAACCTGTGAATGCGACCTTGTTTGGAAAAACGGTCTCTGCAGGGGTCAGTGAGGGATGAGCTCCTCCTGGATTAGGGTGGGCCTCAGTCCAAACACAGGTGTCCCTGTGACAGGAGAGAGGGGGCGGGCCCGCGGGGGGAGGGGCCGGTGGAGCCCCGGGGCTGGGGGAGGCAGGAGGGAGCCCCCCTGGAGGCTGGCGGGGGGCTCGGCCCTGGGACACCTGCTGCTCAGGACCGAGAGAGAATGCATTTCTCTAGCTTCAGGTCCCCCCAGCTGTGGCCATTTGTCCAGGCAGCCCTAGGACATCCAGCCGGAGGGCAGAGGGAGGGACAGGGCTCCCGGTGGCCCCTCACCTCCAGGAACAGCTTGATGGCCTTGGAGCAGGTGACGCCCGTGGTCCCGCAGGGGACGTTCTCGGTGACCACACGGAAGGTGCCGTTGGCGGTGCTGTTGCCCCCACAGTGGTCCTGGGCCAGGGGGGGTCAGGCTGAGCTCAGGGCTGCGGGAGTGGGCGGGCGGAGGAGGGGGGCGCGGAGGGGGCCCCCGCGTACCTGGGCCAGCGTGTACGCACAGCTCCCCTCGAAGCTGTAGCGCTCCCCGTCGAAGGTGATGAAGTGGCCGTCCCCGTAGGCCACGCAGGTGCCCAGGCAGGGCTTGTGGCCGCACTCCCACCTGCGGTTCTTGCACGTGCTGTGAGGGCAGGGGACACCTGCTTGCCCGCTGCCCAGGACCAGCCCCGCCCCGCCGCACTCTCCAGAGGGCTGAGTGAAGGGGGGAGCGCAGGCACGGGCCCGCCGCCCGCCCGTCTCTGGCTTCCAGGCCCTTGGCGCCTGCAGTGAGGCGGGGCTGGGGGCCCTGGCGGCAGCTCTGAAGGCCTGGCCCTGGGGGACCTTCCTAGGACAGAGGGGACCGTCCAGGGCTTCCCCGGGGCTGGGGGCCACACCAGGCCCCCGCTCCCCCCCACCTCTCTCCCTCCCGTGGAGGAAGCCCTGACTCACCAGGTGTTACAGTCCACCCTGATGGTGTCCCCGGGTTTGTAGGTGGCCTCGTTGTGCAGACAGGGGCAGTCCTCCTCGGCCACGCAGCCCCCACTCCCGTCCGACACCAGCCCCGGGGGGCAGACACAGCCAGACACGCAGTGGGTGCTGAACTGTGGACGGGCACGGCGTCAGTGCTCGTCCCCCCCGTGCCCGGGGACACTGGGGGGCGGCACGCCCTCCCCGGCCACTCACGCAGTCCACGTCCAGCGTGTGGCAGCTCCTGAGACACTCAGCCCCGGGCGTGCCCGCCGAGGCGCTGTTGCAGTCCAGGTACACCATGGGGGCCGCACACCCTGCAGAGGGAGGCAGCTGGGCTGGGAGGGGCCCCAGCCCGGGCCCGCAGAAGCCCCTGCCCCCGGGCGCGGCGGGGGGCCCTACCTGAGCTCTTCTGCTCCGCCGCTCCCAGGCAACTCAGCTTCCCACCCGCACACGAGCTGTGGGAGACAGACCGCCCTGCCTGGGCCCACTGCCCACCCACCGCCCCGCAGACCCCACCCAGAGCTCTGCCCAGAGCCCAACACACACGCCCTCCTGGGCGCTGGACCCTCGGAACCCTCTCCCTGGCCAGGGGAGGGGTCCCTCTTTACTGCACGGCTGAGGGGTGGGGGCCCTCCCCAGGGAGCCCCTCTGTGTTTCACAATCCTCTGGGGAGGCCCAGGGGTCTTCGGGTGTGACACGGGGGGCGAGACCGTTGTGGGCCCAGAACAGGGGGCGGGGGGGCACGGGCCCAGCTGGCTGCTTACCAGACCACGCCGTTGTCATGCACCACGTCCCCCGGGGCCACCACAGAGCCACGGAAGTAGCAGGGGCAGGCGTCGGCGGACACGCAGGCGCCCGAGTCGTCCAGGAAGGTGCCCGAGGGGCAGATGCATCCGTCCACGGGCACGAAGGCGATGCCGCAGGTGACGTCCACCTGGCTCAGAGCGCGGCAGGAGGGCTGGCAGCCATGCGCCACGTAGCTGTAGTGCTGGGACTTGGGGCAGCTACTCACATACTTGGCTGGGGGCAGGGGCAGCGCTCCAGTCAGTGGCCGGAGGGCCCCTCCAGGCTGGGGCTCACACAGCCCGAGGTTCAGTTTCCCCTCTGACACCAGGCCCTTGGCTGGCCCAGACGAGGAAGCGTGAAGCTCTGGCTGAGAACGTGGGAGTGGGGGTCCCCAGCCCCCCGCCCCTCCCCCGGTGCTGCCAGGCTGGCCGGGGACACTCACTGCACACGCCGTCCCTCCAGCCGCTGAGCAGCACCCCCTTGGCAGTGCAGGCGTGCACGTAGGAGGACAGGGCCGCGCACAGGCAGTCCTCGCTCTTCTCACAGTTACACGTGTCGAACATGCAGTTCTGGGGACGGGGCCGCGGGGGGCCGTCAGGGACCCCAGCCCACCGAGGCCCCTCTCTCCCCGTGCGTCCTTCCTGGGACTCCCACCCGGGCCCTCGGCACCCACAGATCTGTGAGGCGCCCAGGAGGGCAGCTGGTGCACTAAGGGACCGCACAGGCCAGGTCGGGGAGGGGGCAGCAAGGAGGCACGAGGCCGGGCCAAGGTCAGGGTCAGCAGGGGCCTCCGCGGGACCAGGGCCGGGTCCGACCGCATTCCGCATACATCACTGCTTGTGCTGCTTATGGGGGGCACGTGGGGTGAAGAGGGTGGAGCTATGCCACCCCCAACATGGGCAGAGGTGGGCCAGGGCTTCCACCTGCAGACACACACTCCTGGGGGTGCATTCGTGTGCACGGTAGGCCTTCGAGCTTCTGCAAAAGTGGCCTACCAGCCAACTGTTGTGGGTTGGGTTGGGTGTCCCCAAAAGATATGCAGAAGCCCTAACCTCCAGGGCCTAAGAAAATGACCTTATTGGAAATAGGGCCTTTGCAGATGTGATTAAGGTAAGGTCATCGGGATGGGCCCTGAATTTGGACACAGACACAGGGGAGGGGCACGGAGGCAGGGTTGGGGTGATGTAGCCACAAGCCCAGGGGTACCTGGGGCCTCGAGAGGCTGGGAGATGCAGGAGGAGGGCCTGTAGCTGTAGGAGGGAGCGTGGCCCTGCCCACCCCTTGCTTGTGGACTTCTGTCCTCCAGGACTGGGACCAGAAGCAATTTCTCTAGTTTTTAGCGACCTGGTTTGTGCTCCTCGGTGACACCAACAGCCACACCCACGGTGGCCCAGGGGAGGACTGACCGACCCGTGCATGTGCTGTGGGGTCCTTGAGCCAGGGAAGCACCGGGGAGCTGGGGGTCTCACCGAGTAGAAGGGCGCGGGGTTGAGGACAGAGTGGCAGCGGGAGAAGGCTCCGGCCGGGTCAGTCAGCAGGGAGCACCAGTGCTGGGCGTAGTTCTCTGGGACAGGGAAGGTGAGCTGGCTGGCTGGCCACCACCTGCACCCCTCCTCCCCCACGGCCGTCCACCCCGGCAGCCTAGGCTCCTGCACCCAGGCCCCCGGGCCCCCACCGCCCCGGGAGAGCTGAGCTGGAATGTGGGGCTGACCCATGATGCTAATGGGACAGCAGGGCGCTCGCCCCAGAGACGGGCCCCAGGCCCTGCCGCCAGCATGCACGCATGCATCCCGGATATCGGGGTCCCCCAGCCCCACCCACCCCAGGGCCTGGTGAGACGGGAAGCTTTTGCTCCTAGGCCCGGCCCCGGTAAACGGAGGGCTCCCAGGGGTGGGAGTACCGTTCTCCACGCTGAGGGAGCAGGGGTCCTCGAAGCTGTTCTTGACGTTGGGGCAGGCGGCCTGGGTCTTCCAGGTGTTGGCGAAGGCGGCAGCCGTGCCCTCCACCACACCGCTGAGGGTCCGGAAGTCATCGGCCTGGTTCTGGTTGAAGTTCCCGCACAGGCCTGGGGGCCGGGGCCCAGGGATGGAGCATTAGTGGGGCGTCCAGCCTGGCCATCCTGCTGGCCCCGCAGTCCCTCTAGAAACCATCACAAGGAGACCAGCCAGAGAGCTCCATCCCAGGATTTTGGTTCCAGAGCCATCTGCAGATAAGCCCTGGTGGGGATCAGCCCCTGTGCAAAGCCTGCCCTAGTAAGGACAGCGTGGCTCACTGTCCACCCCCCACCCCAGGTCACCTCCCGGGGGCAGCAGGTCGGATGCGGGGTTCCCTGGGAGCAGCTCCCTCCCAATCCCCACTCCCTGCCAGACTCTAGCGCATCCCCTTGCTGCTGAGTCCAGGGACCAGCGGCCCCCGAGCCCACCCAGCCGGCCTCACCGCACATCTGTCCGCGGTAGGAGGGCTCCAGCCTGAGGAACAGCTGCATGAGCGGCACCAGCTGCACCTGCAGCTGCAGCCCGAGGCCCGTGTGCACCAGGACGAAGAAGGAGGTGGGCCTGAAGATCGTGATGTTGGCTGCAGGGATGGGGACCAAGTCAGAGTCTGGCCCGACGGAACCCCCTTGCTCCTGGGACAGCCCGGGGGGCGGGGCGGGTCCTCTGGGGATGGGCTGGGAGGAGACAGGTGTCTGGTGGGCCCTGGGAGTGGGCAGTGCTGGGAGTGACCGGTCCTGGTCCCCAGGAGGCCGGGCACCGAGCGTGCTCCACACCAGGTCCCCACAGATCGGACCATACCCGCTTGCAGACAGGAAACCAACCACGGGATATTCCAGAACTGCCCCAGGCCATGAGGAACTAGCAAGGGACCTAGCTGGCTGTGTGTAGGCTCTGGGGGGCAGGCCGCCTCGCCGCAGCCTGGCCCAGCCGTCCCGGGCCCATACCTGCTGACATGGGCAGCTGGGTGTAGATGGAGTTCAGGAACACCCCGCCGTTGGCCTGGATCTGGATGATCTGGGGAGGGGAGGCAGCCAGGTCGGTGGGGGAGGAGCCCGCCTGCCTCGGGGGCCAGGGAGCGCCCCAGGGGCCAGAGCCGGGCGCAGAGCTCTGGCCTCGAGCCTCCAGCTCCGTGGGACGCTTAGGACCGGGGCTGGGGGCTGGGCCGGGGCCGTGGGGTTTAAGGAGGACCGGGATCCACGTCCCTGGGGCCTGTGTGTCTTGCCAGCTTCCCTGTGTCCACCCCTCCCCCGCTGGAGCCTCACCGTGTCCCCGCCGTTCACGCTGAGTGCCACCGATTTGAGGCAGTTCTCGTTGTCCGTCAGGCCACACCTGCGCAGCTCGGCCAGCACGCTGAAGCTGTTCTCTGCACACGTCTGACAGGGCGAAGCCACCAGCGCGTTGGGGGACAGCCACTCCCCAGCACAGGCAGGGTGGCCTGTTCCCAGCATTGCCGGGTGGGTGCAGACGGACGGCAGCTCACCCTGGCCTGGGGCGCCGGTGGCCACCTCCAGGCAGCTTGTCTCAGGGCCTGGGAGCCCCTGGCCCCGTGAGTGTGAGCCTGGGGGCTTCCCTTTGGGGATGCGACCCCAGGAGGAGATCCAGGGGCCCTCGCCCCCTCTGATGGCCACCACGGGGCCCTGCGCAGGGGCAGCGGGGGCCCGAGAGTGCCCGGGCAGGCCCGCAAAGCCCACGGGGCCCTACCTTGGACAGGACGTAGCTGCAGTCTCCGTGCACGTCATAGAGCCTCTCGTCATAGGTGGAGATGTGGGACCCGCCCTGGACAGAGCAGGTGCCAGGGCAGGGAAGGTTCTGGCACCGCCACAGCCCCGCGGAGCAGGTGCTGGGAAGGGAGGCCGTGAGCAGAGAGGGCGTGATGTGCAGGAGGCAGACCCCAGCCCATGCACCCACCCCCGGGGCAGGGCAGCCGGGAGGCCTACCAGGCGCTGCAGACGGTGGTGAAGGAGGCCCCCGGGGCGTAGGTGTGGCCGCCGTGGGTGCAGGGGCACTGTTCCAGGGGCAGGCAGCCCCTGTGGGTGACGTCATCCAGCACCGTGCCTGGGGACAGCAGGGGCCTCATAAGTGGGCCGGGGCGGCTGTTGGAACCTCAGTGACCGGGGGCAGCCGGGAGGGTGGGGGCCGGTCCCCGAGGGCCAGGAGGACCTGCCTGGGGGGCAGAAGCAGCCATCCACGCAGTGGTCCTCGCAGAGCTGGGAGCGCTGGGGGTTGGAGCAGGTATCCGCGCAGGGCGAGCCGCACTCGCGGTGCTGCATGTTGAGGGGGCAGGTCTGGGCTGCAGGGGGGAGGACGCACTTGGGCCCCAGGAAGCTGCCCAGGCGTGGGGCGCCCAGGCAGGCCACCTCCGCCCCCAGCCTTCCGTGTGCCATCAGGGGCCCCCCAAAGCCACAGCCGGGCTCAGGGAGCCCCTCGCCTTGGGAGGCTGGGCCCCGCCTATCCCGGCCCCCAGCTGACTTCTGGGTGAGGCGGCAGGTAAGGGAGCCTGGGGTGCAGCGCCTCCCGGACAGCCCCCCTGGGCCCGCCTGGCTTCTGGGGTGAGCTCAGCTCCCTGCACCCAGGCCGGGTCCTCCCTCTGAGCCTCCCGGTCCCCTTTCTGTTCTCCTGGCCACCCTCCCGGCCGACTGTCCCGGGCCCCCAGCCAGATGCCGGATGTCCTACACAGGGGTCCCTCCCCCGTCCCCAGGGACCCGGAGTGGGTGTGGGGCTGGGGCTGGCCCTGGTCGGGGGCCACTCACGGCAGAGGTCCGGGCCCCTCCAGTTCTGGGGCTGTCCCCCCGCGTGGGCGCACTGGCGGGAGTACTCTGCGAAGGTGGCGCAAGGGCAGGTGGGGCAGCAACACAGGTCCTGGGTGCAGGCGGCCACGTACGCGGCAGGGTCCACCAGCGTGTTGCACTCTGCAAAGGCCCGGCCGAGCAGGGTGCGGTGGCAGATGCCCTCCTGGGAGCACAGAGGCTTGGCACCGTCCACCCTCGGCGTGTGTGGGGCACCCCGGGCCCTGCAGACTTTTCCAGGCCAGGGGGCCCCCTTCCTCCCCTTGAGGTTCCCTTTCATCCCTCCATCCGTCTGTCCGTCTGTCCATCTACCCACAAATTACCCATCGCCTATCATCCCTCCATCCTCCCATGCATCCGTCCGCCCAGCCAGCCGGCCAGCTGGCCACCCTCCCTTCCTCCCCTCAACCACCGTGGACTTGCCACCACTGGGTGCAGAGTTCTGCTTGGCTCTGGGGACTGAGCCATGACTGTGGACTCCACCCGCCCCCCAGGGCTCCAGGACACACCTGCGCATGGTGTGAGCCCCCAGGAAAGGTGCCCCAACCCCCAGAGGCCAGTCAGAGAAGGGGGAGGCCCTCAGGCAGCCCCAGCAGAGCCAAAGCCAGCCTGCCGAGGAATGCTTCCTCCTTCCCCGGCACCCCTCCCCCTGCCCCCAACCAGCTGGGGGGGTGGGGACTGCAGCTCCACATCCTGATTTAAGGCTCATGGATAGATTCTAAAGGTGGGGTCCTCCCAACTTCCTTGTAGGGCTCCTTCACCTGGGCTCCCAAGTGCCTCACCGCGGGCAGGACTGCATATGTGCGGACACGTGTTTGCACACACATGTGCATTGCCCACACTCTCAGAACAGGTGTGCGGTCGGGGGAGGTGAGTAGGTGAGAGGGTGTGTCTCCAGAGTGGTGGCCACGTCCTCCGCCACCCGAGGGCTAGGAGACTCTCTCTCCCTGGACACCCCAGGACCCAGCCCAGGAAGCCTGAACCCGCCCTCCTGGCTGTCCCCATGCCCGGGGAGGGGGAGCTCACCCCGTCTGTGCAGTTGCTGGCCGGGGAAGGCAGGGGGTCCTGGCACTGCTCTGTGGGCCCGTCCAGCTTCTGTAGATTCCCGAACTGCAGAGGGGTCAGCCTGGCATCTGCGGACAGGAGATGCTGGTGTGGAGCATGCTGAGGGCCCCTGGAGGCAGTGTGGGCCGTGGCTGCCAGGGGGCCCCTGCCCATGCCCGGGGCACCCCAAACTTCTCCTGGGGCGTCACTGGCTTGAGTGTTGTCCAGTGCCCAGGCTGCCCCCCCCCCCCGCCTCCTCGGGAGCATCCAGTGCCCCGGGCAGGACCCACAGCTTGGCTTCCGGCCGTTCCCTGACCCCGCCCTGACCCCAGGCAGCACTCACTATGGGAGTAGAACTCTTGGACCGCCGGGAGCCCATTGAAGTCCCCGCACAGACCGCACGTCTGGTTGGCGTACTTGGGGTCCAGCTCCAGCTGGGGGTAGAGGGGGGGCAGCTCCAGCCTCAGCCAGCCAAGCCCTCAGCCCCGCCACCCCTGCTGCCCTGGCCCCCCGGGGCTGGGAGGCCGTCCTGGACGGGCTGGGAGGGGCGTGGGGGGGCGCCCTCACCAGGGCACTGCCCTCTCTGTTCCACATGAAGGTCAGCATCAGCCGGACGGTGACCTTGATGTAGACGCTGCTCTGCTCCACCAGCAGGCCCGCACGGCTGTAGGGCAGCTCCCCCCTGGGGTGGAAAGTTCCGGTCGCCCTGCGGCCAGGGTGTCCAGCAGGGCCCTCCCCCACCGAGCCCTGAGCCGCGAGCCCCAGAGTCCCAGCCCCTCCCCAGCCTGCGCCAGGCGCACCGCTGCCCGTTGATGAGGATGGAGCCGTTGTAGGCCTCCAGCACCAGCCCCTGCGTCTTGAGGACGATGTGGGTGATGGTGGGCCTGGAGCCGGCCCAGCCGCGGCGCAGCTGGATGTTGAAGTCCTCGTAGGCGGCTCCGCAGTGCGCTGAGAAGACGTAGTTGCACAAGCCCGGGAAGCGGAAGACGTCGCCGTCGAAGGTCTTGTAGTGGAAGTCGCCCCAGGTGCTGCACACGCGCCCGTTGTGCGCGGGCTTCCGGGCTGTGGGGAGCGCGTGCTGGGGTCCCGGCAGATGCCACCAGCCTCGCCCAGCCACCCACCAGCAGCCGTCCCCGGATTTGGGCTGCGGAGCCAGGAGGGCAGCCGCTCGCCCGCCTCGCTGCCCTGAGCCGCCCTGATGCTCCCTGAGAGCCCTGATCCTACACCAGCGTCCAGGGTCAGCCCCCAGGAGGGCTGGCCCAGGGAAGGCTCCCAGCAGGACCAAGGCCATTCAGTCGCCCACAGCGTACCAGCTTTACCCCCCAGATCTGTGAGCCCCCACCCCCACCCCGTCAGCAGTGGGCAGCGTCCACTCACAGCTCATGGTGGGCAAGACGGTGATGGGCGGGATGACGGTGCTCCAAGCTGCAGAGGAGGGTGGGTCACACTAGAAATGCGGCCAGGCGGGGACCCCTCATCCTCCTCCCTGGTTGGGCCCTGGGGCAACAGAGAGGTGCAGGCCGCCCTGACCCAGCCCAGCGAGCCCCAGGACTAGGGCTGCCCCTCCGCGGCCCTCCCCATCTGCCCAACACACACGGCTGCCCTGAGTGTGTGTGCGTGCGCGTGAATGTGCGCGGCGTGTGAGTACGTGTGAGCATTTCAGCCTTTCTGCCCTGTGCCTTAGCTTTCCGGGACCCATGCCCCCTGCCGTCCCTTCTTGTGGGCGGGTGGGATCCAGGAGGGTCTCTGTGTGACATGCAGCTGATGTGGAAATCTGATGTCCAGATCCCCGGCCCACTGGGAGCCCAGCCCCTCCTGCCTGCAGAGCCTGGGCCACATACCGACGTCTGCCCTCCGACTATGCGGCGCAGCCTCTGTGCTCGCCTGGCTGGGCTCCACGCTGCCCTGGGTCTCTGCAGGGAAAGGGGACGGGGGTCCGTGAGAAGCCGGACATTCGCCATCCTTCCTCGGCAGGCTTCAGGGGGGCGGCCCCGTGAACACTCGACTTGGTGGAAAGCAAGGCTCCGCTGGGATAGGAGGCCTCTGCAGGGAGCCGCAGCTACCGGTGGCCTTGCGCTGACCCCCACCCACCCCATCTACAAATCCAGGGTGGCGCCTCATCTCTCCGGGATGGGGCAGTTGGTGCTGCTGGCTCCGGGCGGGAGAATGGAATCAGGAAAAGGCGTTGGCCCATTGACCCTGGCCACCCCAGAAGAGGGTTCGGCCCCATCCCGGGCGTCCCTTGGAGAAGGACAAAGACTGGCTTTGTTGGGGAGAAAGACTCACGCAGTTGGGGAGGCTTCTGGGCATGACTTAGCAGAAACCCAAGACCAGAGCCAGATTGGAGTTAGAACTGTCCGTCATGGCGGCGGGAGGCCTGGGGGCCCTGGTGCTGGGGTGGCTGCGCCTGGGGCCCTGTGCGCCCACCGCCTCCAGGCAGGGCCTCCTCCGCCAGCCTGACTCCCCCGGTGGCCGGGCTCCCACATCCCCTCGCTGCCGTGGTGGGCGTAGGGAGCCCTCCCAGGCCCCTCTGCCGAGCTCAGGCTGCGGCACCCCCTTCACATGGCCCTGACCTCCTTCCTGCGGTCTGCCAGGAGTCTCCACGCTCAGCCCAAATCTGAGCTTCCTGGGGAGTGGGAGGGGGGGCCCCGATGTCCCCACGTCCCTGGTGCAACCAGCTCGGCGAGGGGCACAGTGAGGCCTCTATTCCGTTCCACTATCCCAGCGGGGACCTCGCATATGGAAACCACAGGGACTGGCCCGGCATTAAACTTTCCTTCCGAGGGCCCCAGGTGACTGCCTTTCCCACAGGCGCAGCTGCTCCCGCCGTCCACCCCTGACCCCAGAGCGGCAGCCCCTCCCGCGTGAGCCTGGCTAGGGCCAGATGCTGGCCGCACCCCACAGTCAGAAGCCAGAGGGTGTCCCAGTGGCAGTTTGCACCCCACACCGCCTCCCCATCCAGGCCCGGTTTCCACAAGAATTGGCTCAACTCGGGGCCCTCCTCAGGTGGGGTCACTCGCCCAGCGAGACCTGGTCTCCATCACCGGGCCTGAGAAATGCCCGCTCCCGACTGTCCCTTCACACCGCGGCTGATGGCAGCCCCCCCGACGTGGGGTCCTCCTCTCAGACCGCCTTCGCCCGCCCCAGCGGGATTTGCCCCCCAGAGAGACGCAGGTGGAGGATGAGGAGGCTCGCTGGCGAGACCCACTCGTCAGGCACGTGGTCTGGGGCCGGCATGGCCCAGATGAGCCTGGAAGAGTTGGGAGGAGTGGGGGCCGGCTGCGCAAACCAGCAGATGGGCACCTGAATCGCACAGCAGGCGGGGGGCCCGGCACCCCCGCTGGGAGTCACTCCGGGGAAGTCCCCCCACCTCCGAGCCCTGCTCAGCCCCCAGGAAAGGCGGCTTGGGGCAGGGGCTCTGGGAGACGACTGATGGAGAGCCGTGGGCCAGTGTCCACCTGCCCAGGCCCCCGAGCCTGGGCGAGGCACCACGGGGAGGCCTCACGGGAGCAGCGCTCAGGGCCGGGACCGGGCGGGGCGGCCTGCAGTGGCCAGGGCTCCAGGCCAGTCCTGCTGGGTGTCACCTAGGCAGCCCCTGAGGCCGTCTTTCATGTTGACAGTAGGTGTTAGGGCCAGTGGTGCTTCCCCTAGATGCTAAGTGCACGGGGCGGCCGGGGAGGCCGGAGGCCCGGGCGGTGGGCTCAGATGGAGCTGCCCTGCTGCTCGATCACCTGTCAGCGGTTCCAACCCTAATCTGAGGAGGAATTCTGGAGCTGCCGTGGGGGCTCCAGGACCAGAGAGACGCCCAGCCTCAGCCCCCACCCCAACACTCTCTCGGCGGTTCTCCCGGGGGACCCAGCTTCTCTGGGTGCGGGCTGAGAGCCTGGGGGCCGCACTGGGGATGCACGGGCAGGGTCCTGCCTGCCGTTCCCAGCAGGAGAACCCCCAGCGAGCGACCTGCTGGGCCCCCTGCTGCAGAGACGGAGCCGGGCTCTTCGTCCTCACCTGTCTTCTGCACCAGGAGCAGGGCCGCGAGGACCCAGGCCAGCACCAGGCACCCGCTTGGGGCACCCATCCTGGAGGCTGGCACAGCGGCGGGCAGGTGGCTGGGAGGGAGTGGGCCCCAGTGCTCGCTCCCTGGGGGCCCTGGGGCTTATATAGCAAGAAGCCTTGGCCCCGCGCCCGGCTCCTGGGCCACGCAGGGCTCCGTCCTTTCCCCTGGGGCAGCCACGTGTGTTTGCTTTCGGGGAGGGGCCGCGGCAGGAAAGACACCTGGAGGAGGAAGGATTTGCAGCTGTGGGCCCCAGATTCACAGGACCCCTGCCCCCACTCTCCCCCCCTCCCCCGCCCCTCCGCAGCTTCTGAGAATCAAAGGGAGAGGGGCGGCAGCCTGGTGCCCAGAGGGTGGTGCCGGCAGCCCATCCTGGGTGGCAAAGCCCCTGCATGCGGCCGCCCTGGGCCGCCCTGGTCATGTCTCGCTCACTCAGTAGGGAGGTGGTCAGCACGACCCCACACTCAGCCCGCACGTCGATCCCCTCCCAGGAACCTGGCCAAGGCCTCAGCCATTGGGCAGCCTTGGGCACTGGCCGGGGGCACTCACCCCTGGTCCCTGGGGCTTCTGCCCAGCTAGGGGTGGTCAGCCATGTGTGGAGGGCAGGGTACCTGGGCTGCATGGCTTGTGGGGGTCCTGGGAGGAGGCTCCATGCCCAGAGACCTTAGCCATGCTGACCAGTGCCCCTGCGGATCTCTAGGCTCCTCTCTGTCACCAAGTTCAGATTTGAGGGGAAACTGAGGCCCTGGGAGTGGACACCCAGGCTGGCCCTTGTCCATCACCTGCCCTGGCCAAGGCAGGACCAGGAGCTCCCAGCATGGTGGGTTTGACCCTCACCTCGCTCCTTAGTTGGCTAGGTGACCCAAGGCCGGGTAACCCAGAGGAAGCTGCAACTCCTCATGGTCTCTGAGCCACCAGGGTCCTCGGCTGACAGCAGGCCATGCAGGGGCCGATGTCTACACGGTGGCATGCTCCTGGGGGCCCCCGGCAGGACTGACAGGGTCACCTCGGGGGCCTGGGGGTCTCTCAACCCCAGTCCTGCCCTGAGTGCGAGCCACGAAGTCCCAGCTCCCCGGTTGCAGGGGTCACACGGTAACCTTTTCCGGGTCAGTGACCAGCTCGGCCTCACCAGCTGCCCCCTTCTGATTCACACTCCAGGTGTCTTATTCTCTGGCTCTGGCAAGAACGCTGGGCACCCTCACCCCAGGCTGCGTGTGTCTGAGAGTGACCCCTGGGGCGGACCCCCGCTGGGAGGCGCGGGATCCCCTCGGGCAGCTTCGCCATGTGGGCGCGCACACCTGGGATCCCCCTGCCTTTGTCTTTCCGAGGATTGAGTCACGGAAGTGGAATTGCTGGGGCAACGGGAAAACCATCTCCAAAGCTTCCACGAAGCGTTTCGCCGGGCGGTCACACCTCTGCTTGGCTGACGGGCCCTCAGGCCGTGCGGGCTCTGCTGGCTCCTGGCGTCTTTAGAGCAGGTGCCCCGGCCCGGGAGCCGGCCCCTGCTCCCTGGCGTCAGAGCTCCCGCAGACGGGCCTGGCATGCTGCCCACTTGCATCCGCGGCCCTGTGAACCTCCAGGCCTCCCTCAGCCTGAGCCCTCGGGGCCTGGCCCCTGCTTCCCTGAGGGCTCCGGTTCTTGGTCCGTGCCCCACTGGGCGCCCGGCCACACCCAGGCACCTGCCCCGCTGGCCCATCCCTCGGCCCCCTGACTCAGCGAGCACCCCCAGCCTTCAAAGGGCCCCACCAGTCGCCCCCCAACCCCTGCACATGTGAGCCTTGGACTCGGGACCTGAATGTAAGTTATTCGGGGCTTCGAGTTGGCCGTCTATCCCTCCCCGCCCCCACCTCGGAAGGAGAGCTTCATGCGGGCAGGGGCCTTGCCCACAGTCCACAGCTTGCACACAGTAGGCAGCCAAGGGACCTGGCGTGGCCCAGTGCCTGCCGCGGCCCCTCCCCGTGAGCACTGTCCTCTGGGCAGAGACGGGTGGAGGGCCCGCAGGGGCACAGCTATTGAGACATCCCGGATGCGGCTCAGGAGCCTGTTTGCTCAGCCAGTTTACCGCTTCACACTTGACGGAGCTGAGGACAGAGATAAAGGGAAGGAAGGAGAGCGGGCTGCCGGGAAGGAGCGGCCTCCTGGAGCTCGGGAGGGCTCCGCCAGGGACTGTGCCAGGAGCCTGTCCCGCCCTGGGTCCACCCCTGTCCTCGCTCAGCCCACAGACCCAGGGGCCCCGCGGAGCCCAGAGGCGGACTGCCCCCACCCCTCAAGGGCTTGCTGGGTGCGCAGGGGTCTTCAGCAACCCCGGGGCCCCTTCTGAGCTCACCCCTCCCTGCATCCCTGCATCCCAGCAGCGTGGACGCGCAGACACGAGGACGAGGCTCCCAGGATGCACCAGGACTCAGGCCTTTATTGAGCATGGCCGGTCTGCCCAGATTCACCTCGGGCACTGTGGAGGGTGCAGGAGGATTGGGGCGTGGCCCTGGGGGGGCACAGGCATAGCTGGCTCTGGGTCTGCTCAGAGCACGCCCCGGACTGTCACTGGGATGGTGCCTTTCACACCTGCCGCCTTCTGCCCCCCAGACAGCTGATCCTGGCAGCCCTGGTCTATGCCCCGGGGCTTGCACTCCCCATGGCCAAGGGGCCCAGTGGTGTGACTACCAGGCTAGCCAGACAGTGCAGGCCGATTGACCCCGGTGGGGAGGGTGGCCAAGGCAAGGAAGCATCCCAGGTGACATGTGGGTGACAGGCCACTTTCTTCTGGCTTTGGGAAGGCAGGGCCTCATTCCTGCCCCTAACCCACTCAGGGTGTTTCCAGCATGACTCAGGGGACCAGCTTGGTCCAGAAGAAACAGGTGGAGGATGCTCTGGGACATCACGGCCCCTGAGGCCCCCAGCTTGTCCATCGACAGACATTCCTGAGCACCTCCGCCCCATGCCAGGCATTTGGGATGCAGAGAGGGGTCCTTGACCACCCCGCTGGAGGGGCAAGTCACCCTGGGGTGGTGGTGCGTGAGGCTGTGTTGGGGGCTGGGCCCTGGAGCCAACCCCACTGTGAGAAGGGCCATGCCCGTTCCTCCCACCCCGCCCCCCAGGCTGTAAGCATGTAGAGAGCCTCCCACAGGACACCCTGTGCCCCAGGTGGAGACCATGAGTCCCCCCAACCTCTTCTACTTTTTTCTGCTCTTCACACAGATCCTTTTCCTTGCCCTTGTCCTCTGTCCCTGCCTCCTTCCTTCCTTCTAGCAAATTCTGAGCCCCAGGGTGGGGCTGCCCTGGGCCCTGGGAATGCAACTTGGACAAGGAGAATGAAGGTCCTGCTGCATGGAGCTCACAATACACAGGGCCATCTGGGGCCACAAGAGGAGCTTTGGAGGGACAGAGAGAGTGATAGCTCTGCGGGGGGCGGGGGGATGGTTTGCAACCTTCACCACCGTCCGTCCAGATCACCGTTAATCTTTCCCCAAAAAGAGACTCCGTCCATTAGAGACTCCTTGGGCCCTGGTGCCCACCCTCCCCTCTCTGTCTCTGGATTTGATGGCCCCGGGGACCATAGGAGCGGGACCATGCAGTGCCTACCCCTCGGGTCTGGCTTATCTGCTCAGCATCATGCCTGTGAGGTGTGGCGGCAGGTGTCAGAATGCCCTCCCTTTCTTAGGCTCAGGGGTATCTCACTGTGTCACTACGCAGATCTTGTTTCCCGTGTCATCTGTTGATGGACACGGGGTTGTTTCCAGCCGTTGGCTGCCGTGAACACGGGAGTGCAAGTATCTGCCCGAGTCCCTGCTTGCAGTTTCTTTGGGGATGGACCCAGGAGTGGACTTGCTGAATCATGTCATAATTCTGTGCTTAACTTTCTAGGGAATTCCACAATAGGGGCAGCATTTTACATTCCCACCAGGAGGGCACCAAGGGCAGGGCTCTGGTGAAGAACGCTCTCCCCTGGGGCGCAGACTCCCGACTTCTTGCAAAACCGACAAGGCGTCAGGGGGCTCTGCGGGGGCTCTTTCCCGATGGCACTGACCCCATCCGTGTGGGCTCCACCCTCATGACCCAGTCACCTCCCAGAGCCCCCATCACCTCTTGGGGTGAGGACTTCAACATAGGGATTTGGGGAGGTCATATTCAGACTGCAGGAAGCTTACAGAGTTTAGAGTTTTCTAAACCTAAGACTAAACTCTAAACACTCTAAACAGTGTTTAGAGCTTTCTACACCTAAGACCATGTCATCTGTGACATCCTTTCCAATCCAGGCCGTGGTACCTTGTATTTCTTTTTCTTGCCTGATTGCTCTGGCCTGAATTTCCAGCACTCTGCTGAATAGGAGTGTTGAGAGTGGGCGTCGTTGTCTTATTCCCCATCTTACAGGAAAAGCTCTCATCTTTCACCGCCGGGGACGACATCAGGGGTGGGCTTGTCATATGTCACTTTTACTATGACAGAGTGTCCTTCTAATCCTGGTTGGTTGGCTGTTTTTATCATGAAAGGGTGTTGAATTCTGGCAGATTCTATTTCTGCCTCCATTGAGATGGCCATGTGCCCCCCAGTCTATTAATGGGGTGACTGGTTGATTCGTGTGTGCGGAGCTGTTCCTGCGCTCCAGGAGTACGACCCACTTGGTCGTGGTGTATAATTTTCTCACGCGTTTCTGAATTGGTTTGCTGGTATTTTGTTGAGGACTGCCGCACCCGCGTTCACGGTGGTTACGGGTCTGTGTGCGGCTCCAGTATTGGGGGATCGCTGGCCTCACAGAGCCAGGCAGGAGCGGGTCCATCCTCTGCGGTGCTTTGGAGGACTTTGGGAAGTTTCGGTGCTGGCTCTTCTCTAAACACGCGGCAGACCACACCCGTGAGGCCTTCTTGTCCCGAGATTTCTTTGTGGGGAGGGCTGTGACTGCCGATCCCCCTCCACGCTAACGGCACGTCTGTCTGGTTCGTCGATCTCTTCCAGTTTATCAAACCTGATAAAATTGTTCGTAGGACTCTTTAAGATCACATTTATTTCTGTAAGATCAGTAACAACAT